GGCATGGTTTACGACATTTTCTGGCTTCATCCCCGTAAGTGTTATGAAACCAGCACCATTCAGGGTTTTCCACCCTGTTGGGTTTCGTTTTAGGGCTACCACGAGACTTGCTGCGATGCGCCAAGGTGCGTTTCTGTGGAATTCTACGTGATCTAGGACTTCGAGATCGTAGCAACCGTTTCACAGAGTTGCACAGCTTGGCCCCCCCTGAATCCTGGCGTTCTGGTTGTAGCAGATAGAATATACGTTGGAGACTGGTCTGCTGGAAATCTCCAGTATTTTATCTGCTGAGGCTGCCAGGTCATCGAGTGGGACTGACTGCAGTGTCACCAACACGGTTTGCACCGGTTGTGGTAGTTTCGAGAGAAATAGTTCTCGGAAGAAACCATCGTCAAATGTTCGTGCACCGATTACTTCTCGCATGCGTGCGAGGACTTCAGTAGCTGAGTGGCTGCCTAGCTCGATGTTACGAAGCAATTCGTCTAGACGTTGGCGATCTGTGAGATCGCTTTTCTTCAAGAGTGTGGCCTTGAGAAGTGCATGAGGACCACTTACTTCAGGATTAAACATGTGTGCCGTGACATGTCCATTTAATTCCCGCGGTAGTGACCGTATGACAGCAAGAAATCGAGAATGAGGATCTGAGACACCCTGCTCTCGAAAATCTGCCTCGGCATGCAGAAACCATGCTTCCGCATTGTCTGGCCAATATGGCACGAGTTGGATCGTGTTCGTAGTCGGCTTAACACGAATAAGCTTGGGAGTGTGGTCGGACATGAGAAAGTGTAGTAAATGGATAAATAAATGTTATCGAAGTGAAAACAATATACAAATATGAAATGGAACAGGCTCACCAAATCAATATTTGTTATTGGTCGGGATACGTGATCACGTCGGGCCCACCAATTTAGAAATTGTTCTGGTGCGAACCTGACAGACGCAAAGACCAATCAATAATTATTCAGACTTGCTACATACCCACAAGTACGAGACCAAGGAAGAACGCGATTGCGTAGTCGGATGGAATAGTATATTTGGATGGTTATGCCAAGATGCCGATGCATTCCAACTAACTGGCTAGAGAGTCGAATACAAGCAGTGCAACGTGACAAGACAGCGTGCCTTATGGCGAGGATGCTCGACCGGGTGCCTTCAACTTGGCGAGTCCAGCTGGACTGTCAAGGTCAGCATCAATGTCGAAAGTTGTCAAACCGTAGGCTATTGATTTTGTGGAAGTGTGTGACGCTACAATATCACAGCTGCGACCGCTTCACCGGAATTACCCAACTGATTGGCCAAGTAATATTGCAAAGTAGGCAACCTTCCGACTGTCGAACAATCTGAGACTCGAGAACACCTTGATATGGGTGACTTTCGCTCAATACCGCTATCATTAGCTTGCAAAAACGAGTCACTCCTATATATTGTTTATCAATCTCAGTAAGTTTTTCGATGAAGTTTAGCACGTTTGCGTGATGGTCCTTTTAATTTACGGACTGGCAGTGTGATTCAGGTTTGAGTCAAGAGTCTTCCTGTGGGCGGTAGGTGAAGACTGGTGACCAGTGCGCAGAAGAGTTTCTCAGCGGATGGCTCTTGGTCCCATCCTCCTCTTACTCAAAGTTAACCTCCAGACGCGGTTACGTCCCTTTGATTATTTGCAGCGATGGGAAAACACTGAAGCTTATGTGTAACGATTGATACATACACGTAATAGGATATGAACGAACTCTCTCGTCGTTTTAGACGTTACAACCTTGAAATCATATCCAGTAAGCATGTGGTTGCACACCGCTCCTCACAGTTGCTGTCATTATATGACACATGGCATCCTAGTACATAGCTCGTAAGAGGTCAAGGTATGAAGAGTTTTCACCAGCCATAACTTGGATACCTCTGCCTACTGTGGCGAGACTCCAGGAAAAGGCGTGAAGGCTCACAGTTGTTCTCATAGATCCATCTAGTTGTCTGACGAAAACAAGACTGAGATGTATCCAAGTTTTGTGCAACCCAACATCTAGTATTGTATTCAAGTGATCAGCCACACCTCCAAGAAGAATGCTAAGATATAGGCTCAGTTGGAAGCCACCGCTTGGCTAAGAGCCGATCTACCTAATTTATCCCATGAAAACCCTTTATGGTGACTAAATTTTTCCCATCCTCACATTGTATGAGTGGCCCAACTATGGCATTCCGCATGGTTAACCGTGACCTTTTTAATAATGCATGCCAATCTTCCCATCTCACAAACAGAGACTGATTTCGACACAAGTATCGATAAATTCAGAATGACAACTGAATCAATTTAGTCGGAACCTGTGCTTATGAGAGTGATCGAAGACTGGGACGTTTTCACCAACCTAGTGTTGTCAACTCCTTCAAAGAGACACTTAATGAGCCTCCAAATTTTAGTGGAAAAACCTCCTGAGAGGACTAAATAGACCAAATATTACGAATATCCTTATTAATGAAGGCTAAAAACCAAGATACAAAAAAGTTGAAGGGACGCGCTTGTTATAAACTAAGCGTTGCATTTAAGCGTGATTGATCCTAAAATGCGCAAGGAAGCATTACATTTATGAATCACCTAACTTAGTCATTTTAAAGCTCATCACTTAAAATTAGAAAACATCACTTTGCATAAATTGTGCGAGGCTTTCTATCGGTCTAACCGTCTGGTATTTAGACTCATACTTGAATAGCAAGTCGCCAATTCCTAGTAGCATATTAGGACATTACGTCATAAGTCTAACTGTTTCACAATAACATTCGCTTACGGTACACCTCAAGCTATGGGTATCTTAACCTTTTTTATCCATGTGCTGTCAATTGACGATCACTATCCGGTATTTTGCATATGTTGCGTAAGACCTTTGTGTCTGAGTAATTTATGTATGCCTCTTGTGGTCTTTCCTAGTGGGTGTTCAAACTGAAACATAAATTGTCTTTACATTCACTGGATAGTTTTTGTGTAGTCACTACAAGTTTTCTGGAAGTTGTTGTGTTGAAGAAAATCTTGGGTTGATGTCTAGCTTTTTTAAATTTTGGTCTGGGTTCTAAGTCATAGCTTACAGTTAGCAGATTGTATGGACATCCTGACAGTAACGTCAAAAATCGCTACGTATGGAAAAAGAAAGGCTTGGCAACTAGAGAACAGTCGTTTAATGCTCTTTGCACTTCTCAATTTGCTCACAAAAGCATTCATGTATGCCACTCGGCAAAACAAACGTTTTTCGTGCTTCATGGGTGGTATAATTTACAGCGATAGTTAAAGCAGCTCAATGCTTCGTGCTGACTTTTTTAGGGTGTTCACTGCTGTCTTTTGATATTGAGATCATATTCAAAATTCAGGTTTGATAAAAGTACCTTACCTCTTGATTAAGTTATGTGCTCAGGAGTTTTGTGGCTATTAAAACAGATTAGTGACCATCATTTTTGAAATAATAGCATCTGGGCTCGACATTGTTATTCACTACTAAACAACTGTTCATTTTCTGTGTTTCTAACAGTATCCATGAATGAGTATCTCAGGAAACATCCATGTAAATTTATCATTGTGCTAATCTTTAGAAGCTCTTTAAGCGTTTCATACTTTTGGATTTAAACACAAAGTACTCAAATCAACATTAAGTTAACCTTCTTTGGTATCTAATATTTTGGAGTTAAGTGGGTTTTGTAGCCCAAAAGCCAGTCTTGCCATGTATTTAAAGTTTAGTCTGCGCAACACATTTTCAAACAACAATTAGTAAGAGTTCGCAACTTTATCGACTGACTATCCTTCTTTACCTAGTAATTTGTGTCTAACTTCGGCATTTCTTGTTCTGTTGATCCGGTTCACGGGAAGTGTTACACAGGTAAGTATGACCAAATTTCAGTATTCCTTCATGTCTCTTGCCTTCAATGAACAAGTCCCAACCGTACAATATGGCAAAGCAAACCTGTGCAGTGTACTCATCTCTACCATCGTATGACGGATATCCGTGTTATGTTGAGTTGGGTTTTAAAGGTGGTGCAATCCAGTAGCTTTTAACGCTTCCAGCTATGATTTAAAGATGAAGTTAGTGGCAGTTATGCTGTAATATTTGCGTCCCCTGTTTTCAAAAAGTAATACAAACTTCTTGAATGCATTACATTTAACTGTCTCTTCTCGCACCATTTGTTTATTAATTATCTTGTCCTTTTACATCATACCATCGTTAAAGTGTTTTGAAATGAATTTCATGGTGCATACCTACTGAGTTTGTGTTGGAATATAATATAGCACTGTGTAGCATCTGTTCTTCGACGTACCTCTTGAATAGTCTTTGCATGGCAAAGCCTCGAGAAATAAGCATCGCACATGTTTATTATAACCAATTAAAGAAAATGGGCAAGACAACCTAATAGTTGCACAAGGCTGAGTCAGTTCAAATTGTCACTCTGATACAAAACCGAGAACTAGTCACTAGAAGCCGAAAGGTAATAATATAATGAAGGATAAGATAAAATAAGAATTATTGGATGGTGTTTGGAGTTTTGAAGGGAATGACCAGTGAATACATCTTCGTCGTGGTGGATTTCGAACCATTTCTTGGAAAGTCTCTAACTCTGACTCCTGTCGTTACTGATTCTGTTTATCCAGTAGCTAGGTAAAATATTAACCAGTCAACATTCTTCCATCTTACTTATTCAAGCCTACTTGTGTTATGACTATTTGTTTGAAAGCTATTATCTTCCAAAGACCTTTCAAGGGTTGAATTTATCTTGTGTCCACTCAGTAATATTACTAACCACTAGATTTATAAATTTGGATTAATTTACATGAATTTACATATCACTTGAGGCATTTAAAATAGTCATCAATTTTAGTTTCTACATTCATTTAGTCAATTAATACAGTTCAGAAGCATTTTCTGCATTAACATTTCCGAGTTATTATTTATAATATTTCATTGCATACTATTATATTTAGCCTGTTAACTGGGTGAACGTTCTGATACTTTTCAGAAATCTAACCAACGTAAATGTTCAACCACTTCCCCACTTTAAAAAATGATAACATTATCAGAGCAGCAAAAGGAGAAGCTGTCTCACGCATACCTGTGTGGATAATGCGGCAGGCCGGTCGTTACCTACCTGAATTTCGTGCAATGAGGGAAAAGTATGATTTCTTTGAGATTTGTCGCACTCCTGAACTGGCTTGTGAAGTTACCCTTCAACCTATACGTCGTTTCGATCTTGATGCAGCAATCATATTTTCAGACATTCTGGTTATACCTCAAGTAAGTTTTTCTTCTCTACAGACTAAAGTTTGACTCAGTCATGAGTGGCTTGATTACCGATAACATAAAATCCTTATCCTTCCATACGATTTTACTCCAGGAAAGAGATGTGCGTTATTTAGCTACAGACCTTTCCCTTCGTTGTTGCTATTTGTATCATTCAAAGTAATGAAAAATTCTTGTAGTAAGAAGCCTGCATTTTTGGTACGAATCTGTGGACGTTATTATACATTATTATTTGTCCCTTGAGTTCCTAGTGGAACATAGGGCTTCACTAGCATGTCGCCATTTCACCCTCTCCTCTGAAGTCTTTTCAACCTGGCTCCTCGACTACCAATAGCCTTTCATTTCTTCATCATACGATCTCCTCCATGTCAACCTCTCCTCGGACACCCAACTCGTCGTTTCCCATTTGGGTTCCACTCGAGGATCTTGCCTGGCGTGTTATGTACCCAAACCGTCTTCTGAGTGTATATCTAATCCATCTCCACTTTCTTCTATATATTAGTAGGGCGTTTGGTTGGTTGGTAGGTGCCAGCCAGCCAGAATTCCTTGTTGCTTGTTCCTATTATTCTGGCCATCTGATCTTCAGTATCGAGTGGGAGTAGGCAGCAGCTGTTCATGTATGTCTATAGTTTGTTCAGAATCCTTTCCGTGACACACCAGGTCTCTGAACCATCACATAGAAGCACTGACTTGCTTGACTGAATTAGTGTTGTAAATCCACATCTTGTTCACGCTTTATGCTGAGTGCAGTGCAATAAATCACCACAACGATTTCAGATTGATGAGGGAAGGCCTGTCTTGATGTCTCTCCAAAGCTGGCTGCTTCGACATCATCATCATCTGTGCCTGTGCCGCCATCTGTAGTTGAAACGATGCTGCCTAGGTAGGTAGGTGGTTAGGTAGATAGGTGAAAGAGACAACTTCCTGAAGATTTCTCCCCTTGATGGTCATTGGTGCTTGTTGGTGTTGTCGTTATTGGCTGAGTATCTTCATCACCTCTGTCTTCTTTCTCTACATTCACATGAAGGAAGTCCCGTCTCCACTGCCCTGTCTCACCTCTTCTGTCAACTCCTTGGTTTCACCTGTACATCTTCTAGTTTGTGTGACAAGACATCAAACATAAATCGTCATCGTCGGCAGTCAGTGTATGCCCATCTCCTCGCTGCTCACAGTTGTCTGTTGCATGATCCAGTCGAGTCGAGTCGAGTCGAGTTGACCACAATCAGGAAGATCATGGGTGATGATAGTAGGCGGCATCCTTCTCTTGTCTTGCCTTGTCTTACTCCTGTCTTCACTTCACTTCAAAGGCATCATCACTGAGCTTTCCATTGTGAGTCAGTTGGCATGTAGCCTCATCATATATCATGTGGCTAGCTGCTGTTGAGTCAGGTTGATAAATGTTTGTGGCAGTGAAACTGTAGTGTTGAAGTAGCTGCCTGTCAAATTACTTGTCGGTCGACGTTATCGAAGGCCTTTTTGAAGTCGATGGACATGGTAGAACATAAACCCATACCTGGACTTCGACTTTAATGATCATCTGTAATTTCGAGGTAGCTACTGCATTCTCTGCTGTCTCTTTCCAGCAGATTAACAGTCATGTTGCATTTACTGTGGTAAGTGTGAGTGAGTAACAAAACCTGCTTAATGCTTTTGAGAACTTAGAAGTACTTTACTGATTCGTAGGTATACACGTGTCATGGCCAATCGTCTGAACTCGTGAGCAATAATCGCGTCCAAGTCGGGAGTTCACACTTTATCTTGGTATATAATGTGCTGTATTAAATTTGGTTAGCCTTTATACTTAATCTGACGTACTTTTTTGCCTTAAATTTTTTGTCTCATCGCTTATAGATTGGAAGAGGAAATTTTCTCGTTACACTTCATATTCCGTTTTGTAGCAAGAAATATATCAAACATGTAATTACTCATTGCTTTTTTTTTATCAAAAAAATAGGCATTCGTGTAAATACTTAAATCAGAGATACAGAACTGCATTTTATTTGGCAGATTATGCATGCTAAGAATCGATATGAATCCAGCAATTTTGAAAAGGCTCCTCTTTTGCTAAGATTGAAATCCATCCATTTGGTGAGATGATCAGTGCCTTCAAAGTTAGTTTTACAGTATCTACGTGGGACCTGGCATTAGTGCGTAACACTCCACGTTTCTACACATCACGTCAGCACATCAAAATAAAAGGTAACAAGATTAAAGGTAGAGAACTAAAGAAAAAGTAGTCGAGAATCGTGGAAAGTTTTAGAAAGTGAGAAGGTAGGGAAACAAAGAAATTCGGTATGACGATTCAGATAAAAAAATAATGTATGGATGGATCTGCACCACTGAGATCTATTCTCAGCTGTATCATCTTCAGTCTCGAACCACTGTTTTCGATTGTCACATGGAACCCAACCAAGAAGTCCGCATTTCACTACACGATTCAGATCAATAATCGAACACTTCATGAGCTGATGGCACATTTTTGTTTCACTGCTTCTAACCTTTTCTCGGTGTAGACCTTGATAACCATCTCCCCCTTCACTCTATGCCAGCTTAAGTAGTTGAAGACTGGAAAAAGGTTATGAATGCCCAAACGAAAACATCGCATCAGTCTATGAAGTATTTGGCTGTTGGTCTGAGCAGTGTACGGAAATGTAGGCTCTCCATTTGGAGTTCGTGTGACAACAGAAACCAGTGGTTGGGGACTCTAGGTGACTAGGTTCAGAATCGTTCTCAGTGACGCAGATGTTTCCACACATTATTTTCACTTGAATCGTCATATGTAATTTCTTTATTGTTTCGCCACCTGAGATGTAGCAATACGGACTGTTACGCAGTAATGCCGATCCTCGCACTGGTTTTGACTAACTGGGACTTAATTCGGCCAACATTGAACATCTAGTGGACGGTGAGTAAGCACGGGTAACGTATGTACCAAACACTTAAAGAAAGCTTAAAACTTCATCAACTGACTCATATTTTCCAAATAGAACTTAACACCTTACTTCTGCACTACTGACGTGGTGGTGCCATGATACATGACCTGTGCTACAGAAGTAACAGTGGTTGAACAGGTAAAGAAAGACTTTTCATATCCTCTACCTTCATTGGTAATCAGATATCCTGTCATTACCAAAGACGGTGTAGGTTGACCAAAGCCATAGGAGCTTTCTTATCGTTGGTTGGTGACCCAACTTCCCAGTTCAGTGACGGGGTCAACGTGCTTAACCACTTTACTCTCGGTTGTTGGACGATTATTCGTATTTAAATGGTGAAAAACGCATCCCATACATTGGCAGTGATAAGTAGTTTCCTTGTCTCACCACCTGCCTACTCCAAGTCAACTTAGAAATCTCCTGCGACAAGGTCAACCACTGTGAATTCAGACAAGAGAGTGTAAACTTTGTAAGGAAGTGGATGAAAAAGTCAAATCAAAATGAAAAGATTAAATACCCATGATGGACGCCAATCGAGGTAGATATACGTCTGATACCTTACCATACAGTTTGACACACCTACGGCTGTTCGAATATAGTCGTCAAAATAGGGAATTTACTGGACATCCTTTTCATCCAGAGGTACTGTCATAATTGTTGACAACCAGCGGAGTCGAATGCAACCGGGGGTAGGAATAATGTTAATCCACTCATGACCATGTTTGAAATATGCCCGCTTTTATCAGATTTGTTGTTCCCGAGCTTCAACTAAATGTTTAATGATTATAAACCCTAGAATCTTAGATAGGATACTTTTTAGATCAATTCCTTTGTGGTTATCACAGGAGGGTTTCTCTTTCTCCTTGAAAATAACCAGCGATTGAAACCAGTTAAAAGGAACCATTTCAGTTAATCTAACCAAGCACGTTTCTTAATTACCTCTGATACTAGCTTATAGGGTCCCATCGCCTCTCCTCGTTTCAGGTGGCCATACATTTTTTATGGGATATGCGGGTCTTTTGAATTAATGCTTCCAGAAACGCCATATGTAGCTTGCCTCTCGCGTATATAAAGGAAGAGATCAACTTCCGCGATGTAAATAACTGGAACTTACCAATTACCTATTCAGCACTCTAAACGGTCCTTATCCTTAGAAACCATCATGTATCACTTTCTGTTCATTATTTCCTGTTTTTTGACATAAGTCTCGCAAGTTTCTTAAACTTCTGGTAATGTAATCGTTACTACAAATACCACTTTTAGTATTCTAAAACTTAGCTAACAACCATCTATCGAACAGGACTGAAATCCACAACTAGAGCACTCTAATCCCAAATCATAGATTTAACATTTGTTACTGAAACGTTGATACAAAATCAAGTGTGAGCATTCGCTTGATCTCATCTGGGCACTATTGAAAATGTGTAAAATGCAACAGTTGGGAATGATACTTATTGGCTAGGTTGCAGCTAAAAGGCGTCTAAGCATATTCAGACTGAACCACCACATAGTAATTAAAGTGGATCGTTTTATGTATTACCTTTACATGTATAAATATTGGTCACATACTAAACAGTATGAAGGGCTAGTTGTACCAAAAGCTTTCTGTGAGCCAAAACGTTAAGATTTCACTGTTCAAACAGGAATATATATATATATATATATATATATATATATATATATATATATATATAGTATTGATATTATTGTGTTTAGGTTTATCACGAAGTAAAAATGCTATGATGTTAAACCTTTATATTCCTTAGGCCCTTGGCATGGAGGTTAAGATGCAACCCGCTGTTGGACCGAAATTCACTGCACCTCTGAATTCACCACAGGATCTGGATCAGCTAAATGTTCAGGTTGATATATCCAGGGAATTGAGATATGTTTATGAGTCGATTACTTTAACACGTCATCGATTGGAGGGAAAAGTTCCGCTAATCGGCTTTGCTGGAGCTCCATGGACTCTAATGTCTTACATGATTGAGGGTGGGAGTTCGAGTACTTATTCTAAAGCTAAACGATGGTTGTATAGCGAACCACAGTCTAGCCACAAACTACTTAGTCTACTTACCCAAATAATTGTGGAACATTTGGTCCAACAAGTTCTTGCAGGCGCTCAGTTACTCCAGGTAATCACTTTTTTTACTTTGTTTATTTTCCTACTAATTAATTGCCAAGTATTACGCAGTTGCATAAAATATCCAAGGTCATAAGTTTCAATTACATTCCCAGAATTCTATCTAGAATATTGTTTCGAAAACGCCATCTTGAAAAGGAATCTGTTATCTCCAATATACCTTGAATAAAACCATATCTACAGTTCATGATGGATCGTGGCTAGCAGTGGGATCCAGGATGCGCATTTCGTTTTATTTGGGACTCGTCAGTTGTTTTCCAACTTGTCTGTTTCAATAAGTTCATGCGAAGCTTCTCTCCGTGTCCCGCAGTCTTTTAAAACCTTCTCAATAGAAGCATGCAGTGCAACTCAGATATCTTTATATATATTATTATTAGTCCCTTGGGTTCCTAGTGGAACATAGGGCTTCAGTAGCACGCCTCCAGTGACCTCTGTTCTCTGAGATCTTTTGAACCTGGTCCCACGACAGCCCAGAAGCTCTCATTTCCTCCTCGCACGACCTCCTCCATGTCACCCTTGGACGTCCAACTCGTCGCTTCCCATGGGGATTCCACTCGAGGGCCTGACGCGTGATGTCCTCCGTCGGCCTTCTCAGTGCATGGCCAATCCATCTCCACTTCTTCCTGCATATTTGTTGCGTGATAGGTTCTTGGTTGGTTCGTTCCCAGAGTTCCTTGTTGCTTATTTTTTCTGGCCATCTGATCTTCAGCAGCGAGCGTAAGCAGTTGTTGATGAATGTCTGTAGTTTATTGGAAATGCCTTTCGTGACGCGCCAAGTCTCTGAGCCATACAAGAGCACTGACTTGACGTTGGTGTTGAAAATCCGTATCTTGTTCCGCATGCTGAGTGCAGAAGATCTCCACACTGGTTTCAGGCTAATGAATGCCTGTCTTGCTTTTCCGATTCTGACTTTGACGTCCTCGTCCGTCCCGCCTGTAGTTGAAACAGTGCTTCCTAGATAAGTGAAGGAGGTTACTTCCTTTAAGTTTCTCCCGTTGACAGTGATTGGAGTTTGTTGTTGTTGTTGTTGATGGTGGTGGTGCGGTATCTTCATCACTTCTGTCTTCTCTATATTCACCTGAAGTCCCGTCTTCGCTGCCTCTTCTATCAACTTGTTAGTTTTTGCCTGCAGATCTTCAAGTTTATGTGACATTAGGCATAAGTCATCGGCGAAATCCAAGTCTTCTAGGTTCTTTTCCGTCGTCCAGTGTATCCCCCTCTTCTCGCTGCCTACTGTTTGCTGCATGATCCAGTCCACCACAATCAAGAATATCATGGGGGATAGTAGGCAACCTTGTTTCACTCCTGTCTTCACTTCAAAGGCATCACTGAGCTTCCCATTGTGGATTACTTGGCATGTGGCATCTTCATATAGTTGTTGAATGAGGCGGATAAAGGTTTGCGGTACTCCGTAGTATTGAAGCAGTTTCCAAATTACTTCTCGGTCGACGCTGTCAAAGGCCTTCTCAAAGTCGATGAAGTTGAGGTGGAGAGGTGATTGCCATTCTATGCTCTGTTCTATGATGATACGAAGCGTTGCAATTTGGTCTGCACATGATTTGTACTTCCTGAAGCCTGCCTGTTCCGGTCGTAGTTTTGAATCCAGTGCATCCTTTAGCCTCTCCAGGATGATGCGGCTTAATATTTTACTTGGGGTGGACAGGAGAGTGATTCCGCGCCAGTTCTTGCAAGCACTGAGGTCTCCCTTCTTCGGCAGTTTGACAAGGTAACCCTTCTTCCAATCGTCAGGTACCTTCTCTTCCTTCCACACCTTCTGCAATAGTGGTGTGAGCATGTCCGCTGTTGTCTCTGCATCTGTTCTCAGTGCTTCTGGCGGTATTCCATCTGGTCCTGCTGCTTTCCCACATTTCAGTAGCTTTATGGCGTTCAGGACTTCCATTTTCGTTGGGGGATTAATGTTCACTTGTAATTCAGCGGCTGCAGGTGGTATTTCTGGACGAAGTGCAGGTGGTGGTCGATTCAAGAGCTTCTTGAAGTGGTCGGCCCATCGTTTCCTCTGTTTCTCTTCTTTTGTAATTAAATTTCCTTCTTCATCTTTTATTGGTTTCATCTGTGTTGGTCTCTTCCCTGATAGCAACCTGGTTATTTGATACAATGTCGTCAGGTCTCTCTTACCTGCAGCCTGTTCTGCTTCACTTGCCAGTGTTTCGTAGAAGTGTCTTTTGTCTTTGCGTGCACTCTTCTTCACTTCTTTGTCCAGTGTTTTATACATTGTGCTCAGTTCATCTTGTCGTTGAGCATCCTTGCACTGGTTTATCTTCTGCTTCACCATCCTCCTCTCCTCTATCAGCTTCCAGGTATCCGTCGAGATCCATTCCTTGTCTTCTTTCTTCTTCCTTCCTAATACTGTTGTGCAGGTTTCTTTCCACATAGCTTTCAAAGACTTCCAGTGTTCTTCCACACAGGTTTCTTCAGGGATGTTCCTCGATGTCTCCCATTTTGTCTTGATGGCTGCCTTGAAGATCTCCTTTGTAGTTTCATCCTTCAGTTTCCGAGTGTTGTACTTGGGTTGAGGTCTATCACCAGCTTCCTTGAAGGCTTTTAACTTGATTTGGAAGGTTCCTTGCACTAGGTAGTGGTCTGAACCTACATCTGCTCCTCTTCTTGACCTTGTGTTAAGTAGACTGCGTCTCCATTTTCTTGAGATTGAGATAAAGTCGATTTGATTTTTAGTGTGTCCATCTGGTGAAATCCATGTCGCTTTGTGGATATCTTTGTGCCTGAACACACTGCCTCCAATCACCAAATCGTTGAATGCGCAGAATTCTGCAAACAATTCTCCATTCTCATTCATTTCACCTAGCGCCTCTCGACCCATGGTTAGTTCTCTTCCCGTGTTGTCCCCTCCCAGTTTGGCATTCATGTCGCCCATCAGAATTTTGATATCGCCAACTGACGTCTTGTCCAGTGTTGATTGAAGTTGTCTGTAGAAATCCTCCTTTTTCTCTTGCTCTGCATTATTTGTAGGTGCATAACATTGTATGATTGTGACCTTTCTTCCTTTTGAGTTGAATCTTGCTGTCATGATCCTGGAGGAGATTGGTTCCCACTGCATGAGAGCCTTCGATGCTCTTGAGGACATCATGATAGCCACTCCCTCAGTGTGCTCGTGGTTGGCGTCTGGGTGACCGGAGTAGATTATTGATTCTCCAGTTGACAGTTTGGAGAGTCCACTCCCATTCCATCTGCTTTCGCAAATCCCAAGCACTTCGATGTTATACCTTCTCATCTCCCTTGCAATCTGGGCTGCCTTACTGGGTTCAAACATCGTGCGGACATTCCATGTCCCCACGTTTACTTTCGCTTTCATCGAGAGAAGACACATCGGCCAATTGGCTTCCCGAAGGCTTTCACCAACTGGCGTCATTTCGCCTCTCCGATTCCAGCGGGGAATAAGTTTGTTTTCATTTTTTATATTTTGTTTGTGCTTTGAAGTTTCTTTAGCGGTTAGATTTGTTTTACGGGGTAGGGTTGCTAGCCCTATGCCCAACCTTCCCTCTTTACCCGGGCTTAGGACCGGCTAGTAACTAGTAAACTAGTTAACCAGGCGAGGTTAACTCAGATATCTGGTAAAGATTTATTTGGTGGGGTGTTAGCCATACCCTGTGTGTAAGGTTCAAGATAGTATTTAATTGCCTATATCGAAGTACTCAGAAGTCTAAACCAATATGATACTTCCCCCTTATTGGCAGACATGCTTTTGAGTATCTCGTTAATATGACAACGAGTAATCAAATCGTTGGTTTCCTTACTAGTCCCTTTTCTCCTCATTCACGTCACTTTAAGCATTGTATAAACACCAAGGCTACACGTGACCTAACTTAGTGTAGAGATCGGTTAACAATATCAGAGTCCCTGTTACACTTTCTCTGTCAATGACTTAACACCAGTGTTCCCGGTAGCACATTACCAGAAAAACTAGATCAAGACACAATGCGGCATTACTACCTACTGGCTCAACCTTCCACACCTCATATCAGCACATCAAGCGAGAACGCACCAAGACGAAAGACAAATAAATAAAGAAGAGAGCGGTCAAAATGATAGAAAGTCGTGTTAAGATAACAAGGAGGAATACGAAAATACTGATCATAGTGTGAAAATTATGTGTGGATATACTGATTCTGAGCCATGTCATCTAGAGTCCTCTATCACTGGTTACTATTGTCCCACGAACTCCAATCAGAAAGTCTGCATTTCCTTACACTGCTCAGATCAACACAATGTTCTCGTTTGGCCACTCTTAACTTTTTTCCAGTTTACGCTTACTTCGGTCGATGTCAAGCGACGGGGCAGACAGTGATTAGACATGTACAACACTTGCCCCGCCACCTCAGTCGATGAAGGTTCACAACCTTATCAGTTGACTTTCCTCGACTCCCCAGTACTCTACATTTGGCTTCTATGTTACTTACGCAGTTACACGACGTCGCAAAGCCTATGTTACGAAGACAACGGTGGTCAAACACCTGAAACCTTATATCCTCTAACTTTAATGGGCATGTCTCATAACCATTTAGCAGAACAGAGTAAACTGTAGCGCATCACACTTAACTCTTAATAGGCAATCGTATATCACGCTGGCACCATCAATGGCATAATCTAGTGAAGGCCTATCGAGCCTTTTGTATCCATGTGGAAATTTCGTCGGTCACTGACACATGAGTTGATCCGGCTTCCCAAGCGAGCGAAGTGGTCAACGCGCTCAACCACTTCACTCCCTAATGCTAAACAGGAAACCTGTGAAGACCAGTCCTGGAGCAACACTTATCATTTGGGTGGCAAAAAACGCATCCTTAACATTCTCGAATTGCCGCTGAAGATGTCCAGAAGACTCAGCATCTTCACCTAACAGGAATATTTCATCTGCGCCACTGTGACCAATTTTCAGCCATGTCACCAGAAGTCCTCAACCACTGATTCCTTTCGTCTCAGGGACGCTAGTCCCTCAGTCTACATCTCTCCGCATGA